ATTAGTTGTAATTTTTTCATTGCATTAGTAAAAAGTGATCATTTTATAGATCGACAGATTAATTTTCAAATCGTTATGTTTTGCAATTTGTGAATAGACAACTGTTTGATGAACTAGTTACCCAACAAAAAAAGACCACTAGATAGTTTTCATGAAAAAAATATTTTCATCATTTGCTCGCAAATACTAGTGCGCTCAGGTATGGTTTAAAGAATAACAGTAAATTAAAAGTTTAATTTTGTAGTTTATGTTTAATATGTTTATTATATATCTTCTGATAGGGCATCTCGTTCTGTTTTATCTTCAGAGAAATAGTTTTTGCTTAATACTTCTCATCTCAAAATTTATTCCTTTACCCTGAAAAATTGATTGTTTGCTATCATTTTATGGATGACTGAATAACATCATTTTCCTAAATATTATATATTTTGAAAAAATAAATTATATTAATTAATAAAATTTAAATATTATGCTTTAATAATATGAATTATCGATCAAGTAACTTTTCCTTCCTTAGCCCAAACGAAACTCAATTGCTATCCTTATCTCATTAATGTATGTTTGAATTGTATGTTTATGCTAACGTACAATCTAGTTCTAAAAGTTAACACAACGGAGTTTTTTTAGGGAACTTCTCCAAGATTCTTCGAACTATGGGTATCAGACTCCCAACGTAGTTAAGGGGCACCACCCCAACGTTTTTTTAGGTTTGATGAGGGAACTTTTTCAAGATTCTTCAGACCACAGGTATCAAACACCCAATATGGCTAAGGGGCACCTCCCAACACACATTGTCAGATATTTCATGAAATTAAATTTCTGTGAGTGTTCTCTAGAAGAGTTGAACCTGAGACATTGGAGTACTACTCATAGGCATGTTACAAATGAAGGGAATTTTTAGATCTCACAAAAACAAAAAAAAAACCCACCAAACGCAGCAAATAAAATCACACAAGATTTAACGTGGAAAACCTTCAACAGGAAAAAACACGTGATCAAAATCAATCCACTATCACCTCCAAATTACAATCTTTTGCATAGACAAAGACTGTCAAACTCCCACTCTCTCTTTCTCTCTACACTTCTTCTTCTTCTTTTTTCCTCTAACAAGAGAAGAACATATATAGGGAAACCAAAATCCTATCTCTAGCCTAACTTCCTAATTAGAATAAGATTCAAACTCCTAATCATAATTGGACCCAAACTTCTAATCATGATAGATCTCTAACCCTATCTAATTTTTATGAAGTTCTACAAAGAATTAAAAACATTATACTAACTTGGAGTTTGAGTTGATATCCAACATATCCTCCATCGACGAAAAATCTCCAAGTTTCTCAATGTCTTTAGAAAAACTCAACTCTCTTCATCTTGTTCTTCACCTCTCCCTTGTGGACAAGAGTCTGAGAAGAGTAATCTATACTATTAACGGATCATCCATCTAAATAGCAAATATGGTTGCTATTCTTCCTCCCTTGCAAAATCAAATCACCATCTCTATATACATTACACCACTCTCATTCACCCACATACTTGAACCCACGTGATGCCATCTCACCGAACGAAATTAAATTAGCACCACATGACGGCACATACCTTACATGATGAAGAATTTCGACCTTCCCAGTATGAAGCTTGAAGCGAACACTTCCAACACCTTCAACCTTCATCTTCTCGTTGTTTCCAACAATCACTTCGTCAAATTCTTCATCTGTCTTCAATGTGTTAAAATAATTTTTGTTGTTGCAAACGTGCATAGAGACTGCAGAATCTAACACCCAAGTGTTACTCACATCAGTACATGTACTTTGCATCAATAAAATTACATATTCATCACACACAACCACCAAGGAGTCCGTCTTCTTCCCATTTTCTTGAAGCTTCATTTGTCTAATACTCTTCAAATCATTACACATCTGGGAACATCTGAACTGAATGTGACCATTCTCTCCACAATAATAGCACTCTTTTTCGCTGTCGTCTAGGGCCCGAGATTTTGACCTTCCTCGATAACTGTCACATCTTCCCGTACTCCTCCCTCGATTAGAACCTTCAAAAACTAGTGCACTCTCACCACCATTAGATGTGCTCTCCTTTCCCATCATTCTTTCCTTCTCACGTAGGAGTGTTGTCACATCGTCGAACTTCAAAGTCTTTTTCCCTGCAATTATCGTCTGAACTAACGGCTTGTACGACTTCGGTAAGAAAGATAATAGGAGTAGCACCTGCTCTTCTTCTTTAATCTCCTTATCAATATTCATAAGTTGGCAAACTAGCTGATTAAAGGCATTGATGTGGTTTTGAATTACAATACCTTCTTCCATCTTCAACGAATAAAGCTCCATCCTCAAACACAATCGTTTATCGACTTCGACGCATAAATCCCCTCGAGCCTTTCCCACAGCCATCTTGGTGTGGTCTCTTGTATAACATTGTACTTGATCTCGGGGGCGAGTGCAAAACGAATTATGCTAACCGCCATCTTTTGCATAGAAATCCATTCAACATCCTTCAATCCTTTAGGTTTCTTATCCTCTAATGCTTGATCAATATCCTGCTGCACAAGAATATCTTGAACCGTGCACTACCATATTGCAAAATTTATCTTACCATTGAATAGTGGAATATCAAACTTTGGACCTGAAGAAGTCATCATCCTCTAACCGTAATTAAAATTCAAATCAGTCACTGTAAAGATTAAATTTGATAAAACCAACATCAAAAACGAACTCAGTACGTCGAAAAACCCTAGGAACGACTCTTGGATCACCAAAATCCACCTCCAAATCCTCGATCAAAAGACAAATCAACCTTAACCGTCGGATAAGTGTGAACAGTATCCGCTACAATATTCCCGCTATAGTGCCGTCACTACAGTAATTTTTTTCTCGATGTCGACCACCGTGCTTCGACCGCTGACGCCTTTACGAATCGCGCACCGATCAAACCTCTACGAACCGTCGAACCCTGCTCTGATACCACTTGAAGGGAATTTTTAGATCTCACAAAAACCAAAAAAAAAAAAAAAACCACCAAACGCAACCAATAAAATCACACAAGATTTAACGTGGAAAACCCTCATTAGGAAAAAACCACGGGATCAAAATCAATCCACTATCACCTCCAAATCATAATTTTTTGCACGGACAAAGACTACCAAACCCTCACACTCTCTTTCTCTCTACACTTCTTCTTCTTCTTTTTCCTCTAACAATAGAAGGACATATATAGGGAAACCAAAATCCTATCTTTAGCCTAACTTTCTAATTAGAATAAGATTCAAACTCCTAATCATAATGGAACCCAAACTCCTAATCATGATAGATCTCTAACCCTATCTAATTCTCACGAAGTTCTACAAAGAATTAAAAACACTATACTAACTTGGAGTTTGAGTTGATACCCAACAACCGATGCGTCTAGACCCTCTTGGGTAACACAACAGAATTTTAGTGAATAAAGAGTATAATCATCTAATAAATTGTCTTTATGTAATCTTAGCAATTTAGGATTTTTTATGAAATTAAATATTAGTCTTTTTTATTTTCAGTTTTTTTAATATTTTGTCTCCAAATCTAATATTTTAATTTTCAAGGCTGTGTTGGATTATGTTTAGCTGTATGAACAAGAAAAATGATATTCTGGTCATGTAACATACGCTTAATGAACAAACAATAACTCTACTAACATTTTAATAGTTTAAAAAAAAAATTGTGATTGTGTTTCTATAATTTGCAACTATAAGAAGTTTATGTAAAAGATAAGATGAGAAAAATATACTTATTATCATGTTAAAGTCTTGAAGGAGATAAATGTAATTTATTCGTCAACTTTAAAAGACTAGTTTTAGTGTTTTATTACAAAAAAAAAAAAAAAAAAAAAACGGTTCGCCGGAGGTTGAACTTTTGCTGAAGGCTGCAAAGGTTGCTCTTTAGCCTGAATCGCCGCTTCAGATTTCGGCCTCCATACTTGGCGGGTTGGTGGCGGCTTTTTGGCCACTTCCTTCGGCAATCTTCTGCGGGCTTCTTGGACTTGAGCCCGTGCTTGCGCTGACAGTGCGCGGCGCTTGCGAATGCGCTCTTCACGTGTCGAACGATTCCGTTTGACACGGATCCATTCGTTCATTGGCGGCTTTTATTAAAAAAAAAAAAAAAAAAAAACACTCAAGTCAACATCCATTTACAAAATTAACCAACTTTTTATCAGTTTGTTGTTCTAAGATAATTTTGATTTGCAAATTCTTAGTGCTGATGTAAAATAAGATTACAAATAAGAAATTTCCTCAAATCACCCTGCATGCAGGCAAAAGTATTCACAACCTTTTGAAGGTGCAATTGAGAAGTTGAAACAATCCCTACACTCTCCTCTTCAAGGGCTGCGAGCATCTTGCTTCCGTGCAGGGTTGTTTGAGGAGAACAATACTTTATGTTAAGCATATTCGATCACATGAAAGAGAATTTAAAAAATCCAAAAACTAAGAAAATTGATAGGATTTTGTAAATAAATGTTTAGTGGATCAAATTTTATAATTAAAATTTACAAGTGTTTTTTGAAAATAGGTTTTTTTGTATATATACCCCTCATATCCTCCATATTTGCAAACAAATCTTTATTTTTGCAAAATAACCCTCCAAATCTTTATTTTTTGCAAAATTATCTCCCGATACTCTTACATTGATTTTTTTTCCCTATCCTATTTCACTTAACAATTTTAGTTTTTAAACATGAACTTGTTGCAAACTTACTGAAAATTATTAGAATTTTAATATTACTTTGTTTAAAAATCAACATTCTTAAGTTGGAGCAGTAGAGAGATCTAATATGCCAGTTTTGAAGGGTAATTTCCAAATATCAAGATTTATAGGTAATTTACAAATATTGAATATGTAAGAGGTATATTTGCAAAAATGTCTTTAAAAAATATATCTAAAAACCTCCGTCTTTACCTCGAAGGACCCGTTTTATCCGCGTCTTCATACCCGACCCGCACCCGCAATCGATTTCTTTGCTGCTGTGTAGGGTTTTCGCCCGCATCGCTCAAGTTGTCGTCTTCGAGCTCTCATCCAATCTCCGTCTCTTCGCCGATTCAAGATCTTAAAGAGATGGGTTACACAAAGGCTCAGCTGCTAGATCGCCTCAGGGTCAGTCAATTATTCTTCACATCTCAATTTGATACCTTTTTGACCCCTTAATTTGAATCTGTTGTGCTTACGACTGAAAAGACGCATTTTTTTTGGGTTCATTTCAAAGTTAATTTATTAAATTAATATTTTTTTTGTAAGAATGCGCTGGTTCTTTAAGTAATCCATCATCGTCTTTGGTGTTAAGAGATTGTAATTTATCTTATAATATCACGAGATTAGTTGGCTTGGGACATTTCGAACTGGGAACCAAAAGAGTGAAGGAAAAGAAATAAAAAAATAAAAAGAAAATGCAGTTAGTAATTTAGTCTCAATACTAGCGTTGATTGGGTTTTTCTAAGTTGTGACTTAGAATGAGGTTTATTGGTTTAGTTATATATTGGAATAAGATTCTTATATTGATTAGTTTTTAATCAGAGCCTTGAAAGTCGAATCGTAATGGCTGATATGCATCACTTTTTGCTGAGGTTTGAATCATGTTTGAGCTATTTCTACCGATATTTTTTTATATTTAACTCTGTAATGTAATCATTACCAGACCTTTTGGCCATTAAATCTGCCAGAAGTGGGGGAAAACAACCACAAATTCACACGTAGCGGTCTAGGGAATCTAGTGGCTTGATATTTATATGTCAACACATTGTTGCCTGGATGCTAAGACTCATATGGATTTTTGGTGCGCATATTGAATCATGAAAGGATGTGTAAGAAAAGAGTAGGATTTTCTAATCATTGCTAGGGAACAATGGGTTGTCTATAGAAATGATAGGATTGCCAGTTATAGGATTATACGCCTTGGACCATTTAATTTGTTGTAACTCATGGGACCCACATTTCATTTCTCTTTGCAATTCATTATTTTTTGGATCGGAATTTGCAGACTTCTCAGGGAAGTTGATCTAAGACCTCTCCCACCAAATGGAGCTGGAGAGATGGAGTTGAGAATATGATTCAAGATCAATCTAATGCTAACCTTCATTAGCCTATCTAAAATATTTTAATTTTAACAAGAGAGTCCCATGCTGTAAAACCTTAATGTGGTGCTGATGTGCCTCTTTTTTGTCAAAAGATTCTCACAAATAACCAATGAGCAGAACCTCCAAATTTCTCCATGCAAGAAAGACTCTTAATAGAGTTTTGCTTGCTATGAAAATGACAAGAATTTAGAGTTTAAAAATCGTAATTGGGATTTAATTGGTGGAATCTTGACCATTAGTAACTAAATACGATAAAACACATCCGTAGGCTGTTTATTCTCATACATGAGAAATCTCTGAATTGCCAACTACTACAACAACAACAACAAAGCCTGCATACCATATTTTTTCATACCATATTTTTTATTACTACGTATCTATGTTGCATGGGTATTCCTATTTGGAGCCGTATCCGTGTTGTACCCTTGCTGACACCAAAACTCTAGTAAACACTCCTTGGATATTTGTATGTACTTATTCAAATTTGTTCTTAATTACATTATACTTGTTTTAATTTAAAACACTCATCACATACTTCTTGGACTGTTGGACACATGCTACACTTCACATGAAATTCTTGAAACTTGTTTGACATAGGTTGTCATTCAGCCCGTACCTTGCTCAAAACTATGGTTGTAAAGGGTCTTTTTGATGTCTAGTTAAACAACGAGCAATTTTCTAATACATAGATTTATATTGTAAAAAAACATATAAATGTTATGGAAATTTTATTTCATAGGTTGTCATTCAGCCCGTACCTTGCTCAAAACTATGATTGTAAAGGGTCTTTTTGATGTCTAGTTAAACAACAAGTAATTTTCTAATACATAGATTTATATTGTAAAAAAAACATATAAATGTTATGGGAATTTTATTTCATAGGACATGAAATGAAAAAATAATATTGACCTCATATATATATGTGTGTGTATTTCATAGGATGTGAAATGAAAAAATAATATTGACCTCGGGAATTTTATTTCATAGGACATGAAATGAAAAAATAATATTGACCTCATATATATGTGTGTGTATTTCATAGGACGTGAAATGAAAAAATAATATTGACCTCATATATATATATATATATTATATTATATATATTATATTATATATATATTATATATATATTATATATATATAGTATATATATATATATATATATATGTTTGTTGTGTGGTGGGTGGGGGGCGTGGGGGTGTGGGTGGTGTGGGGTGGGTGTGGGTTACGGTCGTTGCGTGCGGTGCGCTCGGGGCGTATGTAGCCGTGTTCCCATATCCTACCGTTTACAGATTTCCGTGTCCTGTTCCACTACCTGTGTAACTTAGCTAAATATCCTTTATTCTCATTACTTGACTGGACTGGCATATAATCACCTTGTGGAAAACAAGTATATGCTTCGGAGCTTTAATTGGGTACCAATTCTGTCTGTAGTGACTAGTTGTGATATTTATTGTCATATGAGTACCACATTAATATATCATGAAAGGGCTGAGACATGATAAACTGACAGTGATGGTGTTTTACTTACCCGTACTACTTGATCTTTGTCTTTAAATGATATCCATGGCTCATTATTTCTCTTAAACCGGTAGTAATTTGGGCTTTATTGCTTTTATAAAGAAAATAAAAGATAAGAGAATCTGGCCTTTCTTAAGCATCTATATAGTATTATGCTTGAATTCCATGGGTTGTATGTTTTGACTTTTCTTCTACATGATTACTTCTACCGGAAACCATATCTGTACCTAACATGTATACATACCTATACACTTCACTAGACACTCCTCGAAGATATGCATACATTTATTCAGACGCGTATGCAATTATTATTACATGTTTTAGTTTACAGCACACATCACACACTTCTTGGATGTATATTCTGCCCTTCACATCCACTTCACGAAACTCATTGGAAATAATTCATGTTTGCTTACCTAGCCCATGTGCAGCTCAGAACCATGTTTAAATGGTCGTTTGGGTGTCTAGTTCAAAAACGAGTAGTTTCCCGTAAACAATAAATGCTCTTGTAGAAATTTTAACTGTCATAACATTTAAAGAAAAACAATATTGAGTTCTTGTAAATTTTAATAGGTTGCCAAATCCCCGTACCCTATTTTTTTACAAATTTTCTGTGTCACGTACCTGTCTCCATGCAACATAGCTTCTCTTCAACTGACTTTCAGTTATGATGCACAGGAACTTCAAATTGATTTTGATTGCTATGATCACCCTGCTGTGCTGACTGTCGAAGCTGCGGTTAGTAGATGAGAATTCTCTCTTTTGGGTTATAGTTCAGTCAATTGATGAATTCCCCTCATAACTTTTTTAGGGAAAGCATGTTGGGCATTTGGGAGGCGCATTTTGTAAAAACTTGTTGTTAAAGGTAATGTTGTTTCTTTTACCCTGAAACAAGCTTTTCCTCTTTAAGATATGACATATGCTATATTGATCTGTGCTTAAAACCACGAACATAGTAACATAGGAATATTTTTGCAGGACAAGAAACATAGATTTTACGTGGTCTCCGCTTTGTCTGGCACTAATATCGATTTAAAAGGTACATTTCATTGCTTATTGCATTACTGCATTATCATATATGCATACACACACACACACACACACACACACGAGCTAGACCTTTCGTTGATAAAGTTCTCAGAATAAGGTCACTGAGAACTGTATTATGGATGAACTTGTGGATGACCCACACAACCTATATTAATCTACTCATCGAAATTTATCTATGAGAGAACTATATGATGGATGAACTTGTGGATGACCCACACAACCTATATTAATCTACTCATCAAAATTTATCTATGAGAGATCACATTTACTGCCTAAATCACATTCGTCTTGGTTCAGATCATTGGAAAACCATATCCAGCTCTTCTGTGGCTTTGTTTTTTCCCCCAACCCATCTTCCTAAAATATACCCCACACGTGGCAACTAATCTATACACCTCTCATCATAGCTTCTATGACTATTCATCCGACAGAATATCCTAAGGAATCCTACATAATACGGCAACTAACCTATACACCTCTCACTAAATGTGCATAGCAGTGGTGTCAGACCCATTTGTCTGAAATCAGTGAGAAATATTTGATTTTGTGGTTAAGTTTCCAAGCTGGGATTTTATGGATTTTGGTGGCAGGCTATAAAAAGAGAATTTTGGGGTGCCAAAGTAGAGTTTTCAGAAACTAACCATGCTTTAGACAGGATCTACAAAAATCCACTCTTATGGAGTTCCTTGAACTCCATTTTGATGCAGAATAGAGTTAGCCAAATACTTCTTCAAGTTGCAAGGATATAACTAAATTAACGTAGGGTTTGACTAGCTGTTGCCAACCAATCACTGAAGTTACTAAATCTATTTTAGGAAATGGTGATTTCTAGATATAAGTGCTGGTATCATTTGAATCTAAATAAAGCTGGGATTTCACCAAATTGGTATAGAAATAGACTAAGAGGTTTGGGAACCTTTTTCAAATTTGTAACCTGTTATGGTTTTGTACGGCTAAAATTATATATTTCTTGCAAACTTGTGAAGGTGAGATAAGTTTTGAAACCACTCATATGGTTATATTACTTTTGATGTGTTGAACAATATGAATGATGCTGGTCATCCGTGGGATAACTCATAATGAAATTTTCATGGAATGTCTTGTGTCGGAGATATCTCATGATACATACACATTTGCAATTACACACATAAATATAAATTAAGATTTCCTTCTTACATCTGCTATGTGACACATGTTACTGATTTGCTGATACCTTTTCTTTACCTTTTTGGTGTCGGTAAGTGGATCTTATATGTCCATACTTTCAAATGATCAGTTTTATCACAACGACTTGGTTTGGGAAAAGGAGGTTTGCGGATGGCTCCTGAAGAAGCTCTTCAAGAGCTACTCCAGGTTAATATTTCTGGATTACTTTCGCCTTATTTATTTTCTGGCTGTAATGAGATTTATTATCAGCTGTTCAATATCTTGCACATGTGCAGTAGAATAAAACATAGTCATTCTTACTAACGTATATTTGCAAATAGTTGGGTGGGATTCTGTACATAAACACCATTAAAATAATCATTTTCAAGTATTTCATATTTGTTACTGATGTTTATTTTTTTAAAATAGATGGGCGAGAGCTCCGTATATGAACACTAATAAAATCATCGTTTTCTAGTATTTCAAATTTTATATTACTTCTAAAGCTTGATTAGTGTTATGTCACTTGCCTACTTCATCTGCATAATGTTGTTCTTACAGATGTCTAAGCACAAATATAGCCCTTTACTTAAATAACTTACATTATGGAGGTTAGGTTCCATGGAAACTGGCTTTAGTTTTCTTGGTTGACTTTTACTTTTGCATTTATAATTTTGCTTGTTCCAAACTATGGGGAACCTTCAAATTTTGACACTGTACCTTGCAATCCTTCTCAACTTATACTGTAATTCTCTTGTTTTGAGTTTCATTAGCATGTGCATGTGCAATTTTCCACTTTCCCAACTTGTGAAGCAATTCAAGTTTTGATGCTACACTCTCACCTCCCTTTTCAGTGTTTACATTTCCTTTGTGCTTTTCCGATAAGCTTTCTTAATCCATTGATATCTGATTGCACAATCCATGATATCTGATTGCACAATCCATTCGAAGCGACTAAGCTCATATCATTTCATGAATAATTTGTTGCCATGCCAACATAGTAAATAGGTGTAGTATTGGATCATTAAAATACCCCACATTAGCATTTGATTCAATTTTATGTTCTTAATAGTAAAATTTCAACCTTTGTTTTGGTCGTGTTTGCTAGATTCTGGTTATGTGCACCATTATTGGTTCTTTGAGAGATTTTATTTGCCTTTGTTAGTTTATCATTGGGGGATTGTGATAGAGACTAGAAAGAGGAAAAATGTTACTCACAAGAAAACTAGATAAACAAAAGGTTCAGATAAAGTTCAACTCATCTTCTAAACTGTCAACCATGGATGCCGTGGTGCCTATTTGAAGTTAAGGACGACGTGGCCTAAAATTCCTGTCTAATATAAACATTAGTGTATAGGCTTATATGTATGGCTTACATTCAAATAAACTATCTAAACAACTTCAAACCAAAATGGAGCTCTATCTAAATTCGTACTTGACCTAATCTTAATAGCTTGTGACTAGTCTTACTGTCTTAGTGTGCTAAGAAAAGAAATTTTACTAAATTCTTAAGATTGAGACTGTATTTTGTGTCTGCGATCTGTTATGAATAGGATTGGAGAGCTGCAGTCTTTATCTAATCAAAGTAATTTTTGGCTAATTGCTTAACAGAATCGATATCACTTGATAAGATCCTTCCGATCGCTTTAATTGTGGGTCTTAGATGTATAATGTGGACAGTGGACCCTTCTGAACATGTCATAGATTGGCATTTAAATTGAACAATGAGATGACTTGTATACAGTTGCTGAGTTCAATTCAGAAACAAGCTCAATGTGACTTAAACAATAAATCTTGGGCTTGAAAAGCTTATGACTCGACCACGCTGGTGGTGGATTTTGATCAGCTTCACTTTCCCAGCCTAAAACTTTGATGACCCTCTGAAATGGGAAGAAGGGATAACACTATGCAATAAATATCCAAAATTGTACCGCAAAGGCGGGTGTGATATGATGAGTTCTAATGTTTACACTTGCTCAAATATTATTAAATTGTAGTTTTAGGTCTTGTTGTTGCTGGCTTCATGTACCTTATCTCCTATATGGAAACATACCCTAAATGAATTATGCATAAGTAATATTCTGATACCTTGTCCCATGTCACCCATGTCTTCACTAATACTGAAAGTAAATATGTATTCATTGAGTAATGAGAGAGAAAAAAGTGTTTATTACAACAATAACAACAACATAGCTTTTATCCCATAGTTTCATGGCAACTTGAATTCTGTTCTTGCCTTTAGGTTTTATTAGGGTCATCTCCTTGGTTAACTGAGTAATTCTAGTATGTTTAAGTTGGCTGCATCCGTCCGCATGTCCTAATTCTAGTACTCATGTTAAAGACAATCCTACCGTTCCTAAAATAAACTGTCCCAATATGTTCTTGCTCTTTTTTCCACCCAAAAAATATGGAAGATACGGAAAAATTTTCTTCAGAATGAAACTAGTTCATAATCCTAGCAACATCTTGCCACTCATACCTCTAATTATTCTCATTTCCGCTACACATTGAACATATTTCTTAACTAACAAATTTGGGGGTTATCTTTTAGTGTATTGTCATGAAATTGAGGAATGCATGTGAGAAGTTTTGACTTGTTTACAAAGACATTTCATAAAGTGCTAGTGTTCAATATGTATCCCTCACTGGCATGGTTTCAACAGAAGCTTGTTTGGCGATGTCGTATTTAGCTGAAGTTTGGGGGTGGTTTTAAACGTACAACATATAGTCTAATTTTTCATGGTGATGTTCTTGACAATATGAGACTGTTATTTTTTTAGCTGATTTGCTAAGATAGTTTCTTTAACTATCTTGGTCGCTATAATTATTAAATTTAACTGATTTGGACTAAAGTATGGATTTGAAATCTCTGTCTGAGATATGGAGTGGTTTTAATTAATATCTAATCGTTTAAAGTCCTTGGTTATAGTTTTTGCCTTGCATGTTGTGAATAATCTGCTAGCTTTTTTTCTCTTGTAGTAGTTTCCTAACTTTTGTTTTGTCTATGTGCTAATAACCTTTGCATTTCGTTCTGTTATATAAATATTATTATTACATCAGTATAACCATACATATTTCTGAAGTTTCTTTCCCAATTTTTTTGTCATGCAAGGTGCCACTGGGATGTGTCACTCCATTCGCGTTGATCAATGAATCGGCACGGTACATATTATATTTCCTTTAATATAATAACACGTCTATTTTTCTTTGTTATGAAAGATGCCACCGAGGTGTGTGACTCAATGTGGATTATTCTGCACATTATGTTTTTTTCACTATCCATTGTCATATTTTAGAATGGACAGTTTGCAAATAATTGAACCGTAACAACCTGGCATTTTGACTTTTTTTTTGTCAAGAATATTTGTATAATTAACCAGACCATCCTGAGTTATTAGTTATCTTAATGTTTCCATGTTTCCTGTCTGTCTCAATCCATTGTTTATACTTGAAACCTAGATTTGTAGAGAAGTCTAATGTGAATCTTGAAACAATTTGTTACTTTTCGCGTTTCAATTATGTGTATTAAAGTTTTAAATATCTATTGAACTACTATTCTTTTTGTTTCATTTTAATCAATACTTAGATAAGTCTAGTGGAATCTTGAACAAATCTGTCAATTTTCTCATCTCAGCTAAGCATATAAATTGGAAATATCCCTTGAGTTTTTATTTTTTGTTTTAATTAGTAACCTCAGCATCTGGACAAATGGGAACAATAGGCTTTCCTATAATTTATGTGGTTCTTCTTAATTTTAAGACTTTGTTATTTCTTTAGTACTTAGTGGACATACGATACCATTTTTAATCAGTGTTTCTAAAGTCCTCTTCCCTTTTCTTGTCGTTTACTCACATGCTTATAACCCTTATAGGTTTAGATAGGTTCTGCTTCTTCATCTGATCCATAAGTATAAAGTTTTCTTTTAAATATTTCTTTAGTTTGTAGACTATTCTTGACATATAGATAGAAGTAAATGGTGCAAACTGTCTAAAATGAATTGTTGTACTTACAATATTTACTTTGAAATTGGTTCTTACCTGAAGATCTCCCTAGACATATATGTTGGACTGATAATTTTGATTGAAGCATTTAAGGCATTTCCTATGGTTTTTTCCCTTCATGAGGACATATGAGCAAATTAGCTTTTGGAGGATGCAAAATCACGGGAATAAAGTAATGGTTGACTATGATGACTACTTGGTGCAGAATGTGCTAACAGGAAGTGTATAGTCTAACACACTCGCTCATGCATGACTATTTTCCGGAAGGATTTGAAGTCCTATACTTTCTATTCAAGTTAATGCATGTTCAATGCCGTTAAAGTTAATCAATATTTTTTTTATGTTCATGAGAACAAAACATCTGGTTGTTTAAAGTTCTTTTTTTCCAAACATCGAAAAGTTCAAAATGAACATTCTAAATAGCAAGTTGCAATGTTTGAGATCTAATAAAAGTTAGGTTCATATGACTCTTAAAATGTTCAATTCAAGATTAAACATTTGATTAAAATTATCTATGTCCTAAAGTAATAGATCAAAGCATAATACCACTTTTAAGAAAAATATCATTTTGACTATCCTTTTTGTGCTTACCCGATACATGGACAAAACATTTAAAATGCTTTGATTTATAGGTACTTTAGATGGTGTAGTAGATCAAATTCAATGAAGTGGACTATTAAAATTTGTTTTTGAATAGTGATTTCCAATAGGAAGAACTTGTGTTTAAATTGTTTCCCAAAAGGCCCGATCATGTACATGCACATGTACACACATTTATACATTCGCACCCAGACTCGCATTTGTGTATTTATTAATTATAATATGAAAAAGTGGGTATGAGGTAGTTGCCCATTTTATCAAATGATCTACCTACGAATGGATTAATGTTAAGACTTAGTATGCTAGTTACATCAGAGGTGGACTGTACAATAGTTGATAATAAAAATGCATAAAATTTATAGAAAATTATAAAAATAAATAAATAACATGCGTAAATAGACTAAATGGTAAATATTAAAGAGCACGGAGGAAGTTGGAGGACGATGGAGGCGGCAACGGAAGAAATCATGACCACGATCTTAGCGATGCAGTCCACATAAGGTACTGTTTAGGCCTAGGTGTTCCCAACTAGTAGGGGTGAGCAAACGGTCGGTTCGGTCGGTTTTTGTCAAAATTTGACCAACCAAAACCGAACCGCCTGTTATTTAGAACCGAACCGAACTGCTCTATGTCGGTTCGGTTCGGTTCGGTTCGGTTTGTCGGTTCAGTTATAAGTATAACATATGTATTAGAAGTAAATCAACAAGAAGAGAAGAATGGATGGGGAAAAAAAGCAGGGATCGCTTCCTCTACCACTTGGCGATCTTCTTCTTCTGCTTCTCTCCTATCTCCTTTATCCAAGTCATTTATCTTGGAACTAGAACAAAAATTATCTCAAAAATAGTAGGAAGAAGTAAGGGAAAAAACGAAGACAGAGGCTAATAATGGAAATGTCGACGAAGACCTGATGAGTGAAGCGCTCGATCCTCTCAAGAATCGATTGGATGTTAGCCTCCATCTCTTCTGACACTGCTGCTGCTTCTTTGTTTGTCTCCTCTTAACCACTTCCTCATTATCAAATCCACCTACTACTTTTTCTTCCTCCTCTGCCCTAGCCTCCCTCCTGTTCCCAAATCCAAAAAAAAAAGAATCAACCAAAATAAAATCAGATCAAACAAAGAGAACTAGATCTAACCACGGGATCTCTACCGCTGCTGTCATAATTCGCTTGCGTGATGCCTCCATCTCTTGTTTCATCTGGAAAATTCCGAAAAACCTGCCAGAGACACAAAAAATGGTGACATTTTAGTGAGAAATCGTTCAAGATCGCTTTGAATTGCGTAAGATCTGATGGAAAAGAGAGAGGAGCGAAAATAGAGAGCAACCTACCCTTCTTGATGACCAGGGTCCAGGGAAATGGATGGATCACGTGCTCTAAATCTCATGATGATGAACCTGACGCATCGATGACCAAAGAGACGCATCGATGACCAAAGAGAGGGAGGAGCGAGAGTGTGTGAGATTGGATTGTAGAGAGAGAGAAGGGAGAGCGTGGTAGGCTAGGCTGGCGGCTGTAGTTGGAGACGGGGAGGGGAGTTAGGGTTTAGGTACGAGGGATTTTAAAGAACATCAACGGGTCGGGTATAGGTTACCGTTAAAAATGCACTGTTAAATGCGGTCGGTTCGGGTTGAAATTTTTTCAACCCGACCCGAACCGACTTAGAATTAAAATCGAATCGAATCGTTAATTTTCGGTCGGTTCGGTCGGTTTTTTCGGTTTGGACCGAACCGTGCACACCCCTATTCCCAAGACCTAGGCCGGCCGCCTAGGTACTGCCTAGGCCTATGAGGGAGCCTAGACAAGCTAGGCGGGAGCTTTTTAAAACATTGACAATATATAAAGGAAAGTTGGAGAAAAGAAGAACAGAGAAGGGAGAAGAACAGCAGAACCAACAGTTCACTATTGGACACTGGTCAGCTTTATTGGAAAATGTAATAAGGTGATATATGGGTAAGATTTTTTGGCCAATCTGAGGATTAACTGATTAACTTACTTTTCCTATCAGCCCAGAACTGTCAATAACAGAGCTTTTCTATATATTCCATTTGTGATTTTTTGTTAATTTTCTGTATGTATATAGAACCATTTTTTGTCCTTTTCGTGATATATATTGCCTAAATATCATCACATATTTAAAAACATCATTCTTTGCAGTATTTGATAGGAGATTTCTTACAGTCATTTGACTCAAATTCCTTTCTCATGCAGAACTGTTTCATTGTTGTTGGATCAAGGACTCAAAGCTCATGAATGTTGTCTCTTCCACCCACTCTCTAATGATTCAACAATATGTAAGTGATGGGGTCTTTCTATTTTGGTTCTGTATGTTTGTTCAACATCTGTTGGTTTGTTTGTTTGACAACATAGCACTTGTTTTGGACAACATCTTTTTCAGTAAGCGTGATGCATCTTGTTTCCTGAATTGCAGCCATAAAACTAACTACATCCATTTCATTGTTGGCTAAGTTTAACAAACTATATTGTATCTACTAGATAGCCATATTAATACAACGGAAGGTTCTATTTACAATATGTTTAATAAATTATGTTGTATCTTCTAGATAGCCATATAAATAAAAGAAGAAAGTTTTTAAAAATTAACTTTAAAATATTTTATCAGGTATAAAATTGAAATTTGATAATCTGGGTTTTTTATCTTTATCTTTACCACCATAAGGGTGCAGGTGCAATCTGGAAAAAAATGCCATGGTATTATCTTGTAGAAAATGAACATCAGATATGTTAGCCATAGTGATGATTAAAATTGAGGCATCATTGTGTAATTTAGTTTATTCTTTTTCAAAATAAAAAAGGCGGCATAATTCGGATAGCGTATTTCTGTGTGTGCATGAATGTGTTTGTATGTATTTGTTTTTGTGAACAAAACTTCAAGTGATAGGAAATTCACAAAGGTGAAAACATGCCCTGGAACCTCCAACATAATCCCAACTGTTCAGTCTAATCTCAATACCTATGCAGGTTGAAATCAAGTAGGTTGAAAACTTCTAGCATGTGCAAACGATCAACCATCAGCAACTATCAGAACCACACACAATGATCTATTTGGGATTATGATGCTTAGTGCATACATTTTCAAATCACTTCATTTCACTTTCCCTCCAAGGGTATGTAGATTAGATGGATAAATTGGATCACCAAGTTGGATGCAACTACCAAATTTTCAAGTATTTAGTCTCTTTTGTTATAACCTATGTGCAGTACAACTTATATGGACCACTCAATTTGTACCCTGTTCATCTTGGTTAAAATTTACAGTGCATAAAAACCAGAAAATGAAGCGATTTGAGTTCTCTCGTTCATGCATCAAGTTTGCACACAATAGATGGGCAAGTAGAAAGAGTTGGATCTATTCTCTATTTTGTATAAAACCAACAGATGCTCCTTTCCCCTGTCCCTCCTGTGTATTTGTTTTTGGTGCACATGTCTGTGTGCATTTGTCTATGTCTAACTCATGCAAATATATTATTTTTTTATTTGTCATTACTTTCTTAGGTTCCTTTTTTCCTATGTTAATTTATGTTCTCTTTTCAAAAATTTCAATATTCCTGCACTTCAGACCTTCTAAGCACAAGGTCTGAAATGCGCTCTTTGCTTTAACAACGGGATTTGTCTCATCACTTGCCCTTTTATATGCCATAAGAGTATCTCCTTATTTCATTAACTAACTCTATTTAGATGCCATACAGTACCTTTAGATCCTTAAGTACTCATTTATTTTTTTTCTTGACACAACTGGACCTTTGTCTGTCAAACTTAAGTGTGTTGTCATCTCCTTCAAAATAAATAATGATGTCTTGTGGGCTGGCTTCCCCCTCAACCTGGTATCTTGCATTGCCAGATACGTACTATCTTTTGTAATGTATTTGTGCATTTGAGTTTATGGATGAACTTGCCTCCTTTCCAAAGGATAAGGGACCAATCCTTCCTATTAAATTTTAGTATTTTTCAATCCAAGCCCCAAATGCTCTATGTTCATCTTGATCGCAATGTTCAAATGTGTAAATTTATAAAAATATAGAAAGACATGACCATAAAT